ATATATGGACATTTCCATAGTGAACGAATGTAACAGTACATTTAATGCATAGGAAAAGAATATTCTTTTTTCTTTTTCAAATTCCAACGTAAACTAAATGATTAAGAAGAAGATTTGGCGAGTACTTGCTCAAACTAAAAATAGAGAAATAAAAATATTGATGCATAATTTCATCCAAGGTAGATTTCGTTATTTATATTAGGAAAGAAAATATTCCCAAGTAAGTATAAGGAAATTTGGCTCGTCAAGACTTAACTTCCAAAAAGTTTTAAGGTGGTGTATCAGCTGCTTCATCGCAAGATTTTATTTGTCTTGCGTCAATAACTTTTTCTGATAGTTTCCTCTTTGTTCTATTAAAATTGAAAATCCACATAACTTTTAACAAAACGGGAAATATTCGGCCCCTATAAAGAAATTTTTTTCATATCGGACACCAAATTTGGTGTCACACTTTCGATTGGCTTCAAATTTTTTATGGGTTCTATACATGAAATAAGCTAACACGTGTTCGTGGATTTTTTTTCGGTTTTTTCTTTGGAGATAGGATCTGTCAAAGTTTGCATCTCTTCGTGATTCTGAATAATCATGTACTTCTTTATATCTCGGGTTCTGCCCATCGTAGAGACTTCATCTTAACGTCGTTTTAAAGCTAAAGAAACGGGCTTAATATTTCCACAAATAAGATGGTCAAAATTGTCCTAAAGCTAACTTAGCTATTAACAGTTGAACTTTTTTAAGTTGATTTGCATAGTGAAGGCCACTAAATTAGGGATTTAAAATTATATGTTCGTAATCCTTGTTTAATTCTCTATAAAAAAAGTGGTTACAAAAAATTGGGGTTTTCAAGAACTATTTTTAAAATATTTTTCTTACTACAAACTTTACAACAAAGCGTTTTATTTAATAAAGCAAAACAGCAGTTTGAAATTCACATTCGAATCCCATTAGAGATCAACATTAGAACTCGATTAGAGAATTAATATTTTCTCGCATTGAGAACTATATCCCATTTTTTTTGAGATCGCTATGATTCTCGATAGTTTTCGAGTCGTTTGAGATGGGAGAATGTGGCTAGTTCTCCATTCGTTCTCTAATCGGTAACTTACCACAATGTTTGCTGGGAAATACAAAATTATTTACCTTCCGCCCGTTATTTTCACCGAAAAGTGGAGTTAGAAGCTTTCACCGCTGCGGCGACGATAATGCAGTTTCAAATTCAATTTATTCACGGTAAAATATCTTCAAAGTATTCTATTTTCGATTTTTTTTTAATAAAATTTGAATCGTTATAATTCCGTTTTTGTGTTCGTGATTGCGTTCTTAAGACTGATTTGATTTCTTACCAGTCAGAATAATAAGTATTGTAACTCATCCCAAAAACTATCAGAAAGTGTTTTCGCAGCTTTTGCTAATTTTAAAGTTAAATTAATATTAATTACGATAATTTTATTTGAAAAATTTTTAACATCTATTTCGATATCAGCCAAGTGTGAACATTGTATGGAAATACCCATATATGTATGTATGTAGATATGTATGTCTATAAAATTAATAAGATTAGGAAATGTTAAAAGTCTCATGAATATGTGTTTTGATATTTTGGAAATCATTTTAAGGCTACGGTTACTATGCATGCGTATTCTGACGAACTTTTGTTTTGACGATAACTTCGGAACAAAAAAATAAGAAACAAACAAGCAAAGACGTATTTTTTTTGTTGCGACGAAATCGTCAGAACAAAAGTTCGTCAGAATAAGCATGCATAGTAACCATAACCTAAGGTGCCAAGTCAGGTTATGAAGCAGTAAAGTGAGAGCAACATAAAACATCGAAATTTGTATGAAAAATATTTTAGAGCGGGAATTTTTTAAGATTTTCGAGATTTCAAGGAAATTCTTCGGTGAGCGTGAACTAGGAATGTTAACCCCGAGATCCCGGCCTTTTTTAGGTTCCAAAAATTCGGAGATTCTTGGCAAATATTCCAGGGATTTTCGGAAATTTTGATTTTGATGGCAATAATAGAAACTCCTTTTCTTGAGCAGTATTGGCTATATTTATTTTTATTTAATAATTTATATTCTTTCATAAATGTCTAGCTCATTATACATACAACACCGTGCGATAGTAAATTTTACACACAAAAATTTATATATTCGTGAAAACATGATCCAAATATTGTAAAATTGCGTTTTTAGTTTTTCACCCTGGGTTAAGTAATTCCAAAATTATTTAAAAAATTCAGTGAAATGTGCCTAGAGAAGAAGTGTGGGTATCACGTTGAAGACGAAATTCTGTAGAATTTAATCAGATTCAATGTTTTTTATGCACATGGACTTGTAAGTATTGCAAATGTCCTTTTAAAATTTTTTCCTTGAAATTTCGCAATATTTATTTTTGAAAAAATTATATGTTAAGGACTTATATAAACTCGATAACATCCTCGAATTTCGACCTTCTAACTTTATGAGCTTAAATAATGGCCTATTCGTCCTTGTAACTCCAAAAAATTTTAAGTTTTTTAACTTCTAAAGAAATTTCCTTCCTTCTTTGCTTCCTTTTATTTGTACCATATATATTTACCCATATTTTTATTCTACAATGCATTGAATTTTTTAATTAACTTTTGGAATTAATCATGCTTATCTCTGAAGTTTCAAAGTCCTTTAAAATAAATCCTGACATCAGAGAGAAAAAATAAAACCGCCACTTTAAATAAAAAAGTAGGTTTCAAACCCATTTATTCACTATATATTTTATGGTAGGATGAGTCAGCTGGGGTCGTTGGATCGAATCCCAGTGAAAGAAGTCTGATGAGGAAACGTGGTGATTTCCGAAATAGCTATCACTTCTAACGTTTTTTCAAACTATTGTTGCTTTTCCACAATAGTTTCTCATTAAAACGGCCTCAAGCTCAATAAAAATTGTTGAATATAATTGTTATAAGGCCATAAATAACAAACACAAAGTAGACGAGCTTCTAAAACAATTTAGAAGCAATTTTTTCGATTTAAGTTACTGAAATGTAATGAATATCTAAATACCAGGACTAATCCCGGGATTCCGAAAATCCCAGGATCGTAAAAAGCCAAAAAATTTACATCCCTAGCGTGAGCCAGTGCTGAGAAAGTGGGAACAATTTCAGATTTTAGATACATTTGGAACATAGCCAAATAAGTTTTCATGAAATATTTTCCTGTTTTTATTGAATTTAAATGCATATTCAATTTATTTTGTATCGCATTAAAGCATGAACTGACGTTAAAGCCTTGCACTTGAACCCGCTTCTCCATAAAATACCTGACGTACTTGGACAGCATAACGTTTCGTATCGGTTAAAGCTCTAGTTCTTCTCTCTGGCGTCAACATTTTGTATTCACTTCCCTATTCCACGCTAGAATAGATATCGCCTCTAGAGTGCGATCGCCGTTCTATGAAACGAAGAAGTGAACAATTTTTAAAGCTTCGCATAAAATTATTAAAATTTGGCAAAAGTATACATTTACTGAAATATTTTTTAAAGGAAAAAAAAACAAAATTATACTTTTCCTTGATAACCAATCCTTTCCTTTCACTTCACCACTTCACAGAGCCCGAAACGCGCCCGGTGTTTAAACTTTGTTTAAGATAAGTTATGATTCAAATAACTTTTTTTAAAGTCACATTCCAAAAAAAAACCAATACAACATCAACAACAAGAACAACAACTATTTATATTTTGCAAACACTTTCTTTTTTAGGTTAAAGTAAGAATGGTACAGAAAAATAAGGAACTTGTGCCGAAAAAACTATAAAATATATATGTATGTATGTAAGTAATTTGGAAGAAAAGGATTGTGGAAGCTTTTAAATTTATTAACTTTGAAAAACTATATATTAAACTGCAAGAGTAAAACTTTGTAACTTTCTTAATATGGACGTAAGAAATGAAAAAATCGAAAGAAACGAGACAGGAAAAACTCCAAATGTAGAAAAGGTAATTTATATTTAAAAAATATATATATATATAAATAGTAGATTGTATGTTTTAGCATAGCTTAGCTGGAAGAAAACCAAATTAAAAGAAAACTTAAATGTAACTGACTTTTCGCTCGTCTTAAGTTTATTAGATACTGTTTTTATGTTTGGTTAATTGGAATCGCAGTATTGCTGTATAAATTTTCGTTAGTTTCGCAGGAAAAGTATTTTACTTTCAGTTATTATTTTATATGTAGTAGTCATACCTACAGTGAATGAAAATAAGTATTTTTTGAGCACAACCTGAGTTTAGTAAACGCGCTGATTTGTATGCACTGAGAAATATTTACGCTTAGTTTTTTCTAGTATGTGTCTGGTCACCGTGGTTTACGCAAAAAAATATTAAAAATCTTTATATTTCTTTGCAAATTGTTTCTGGTCTCCTAATTAGCATTAATGTATATTTTTTTTTATGTTTTTTGTTTTTGTTTTATGCGTAACTGAATTGAAAATGTAGTATCACATAAAGAGGTTAAATAAAATCAAATTATGTAAGTAGATATGTATGTATTTCATAAACATATGTATAAATATAGTATTATACAATAAGTAGGTACATAGCAATTAACTGTTTGTAGAAACTGACCTTCAACTGTACATTTTATTGTTTCATTCGAAGGCAAATAAAAATGAAATGAAAAAATGAAAATAGAATAAAAATTACAAACTTATAATCACATAAAAATTGCAGAAAAAAGACAGTTATAAGAAATACAAGTACACGTATTGCTGTTGTTGTATATAAGTAATTTGTCGTTTTCCTGTTTTATTTTTTTTTAATATTCTTTTTTGTTTTTTTTTTATGCCTTGTTTACTGTTTGTTAGTAGATTAATATTAAGTAGCACGAGTAAGTTATGCGTACATACAGACAAATATTTTCACGTATGTATATGTATACAATACAAATGTATATGTATGCATGTACATACATATGTATGTATGTATAAGTGTAAATGACAAAGAAATTGATACAAAATTCACTTACGTTTGCCGGTTGAACCTCGCTGGCCGGCCATGCCGGGCATCATATTATCTCTGGGAGGCGGTGGTGGCCCTCTAGCGCCGGGGCCTTGTCCTCTACCCCGCTGACTCAAGCCACCACGTCCCGCCGGGCCCATTTGATTGTTGTACTGATCGGGTGCATCGGCGAGAAAATTCGACGGTACAAGACCCCGTATACCGTCCAATTCACCCATATAGAAACCATCTTCGTCCATATCACCATAAACGAGTATTATCTCACCGGTTTTGAAGCTCAATTCCACCTGCTGTTGGTTTGCAAAAAAAAAAAAACAGCAACATATAAATAGATTAAAAGTCATTGTTGCAGGAAATGCAATCAAATGGAATAAAGAAGAATATTAAAGTCAGCTTGACTTAAAATGATGACAAGGTATAAATGAGCTGAGGTTATTGTTGTGCAGTTGTTTTTGTCATTACATCTGTAGGAACTGAGGAGTTAAAGTCGAGTATTAAAGGGTAGCGTAGCTTTTTTATTTACTTTATTTGCAAACTGTTTGAACGTTCAAATAGCCCAAGGCAGGGTTACCGATGTCCTGCAACCTCGGTATATAATACCCTTGTAAGTTTCGACCGAAAACAGCTAACGTGTTGATCGCCACATACTTAGGACTATATTGAGGTGGTCGTTTATCTAGCACTTTTTTGAGCTATTTTGGATATGCCCCTTTAACCCTTTAGTCGTACTCCTGCCAATTGAGCGAATGAGACTCTTAGAAAAAGTGATCCGAGAAACCGGGCCCTTAAAACTAATACTCAAAGAAAGTAGGACAAGCTAATTCGCTCTACGAAAAGGTTTTATTTTAAAGCGTAATTCAGTCGTATTGACATCTAAATATGTAAGTTCTTTCTGAGTGCTGTTATATGCTATGCATACATAGGTTCTCAAAAAATACGAAGCCATTCCTGACCGCCTCAAATCGCTGAGTCGTGATGGTAGAAGATATTGAGCCCTTATTGGCGATCATGAAAAGTATTCTCTTTGTGTCGGTGGCAATTGCTAAAAAAAACTTATAATGATCTACGAGGAGTGGCTTAAAAGTCTCGAGTCTAAGTACCTTTAAGTGTCACTAATATCTTGTCATGCGTGTCACTAATTGCTAATATCTTTAGTAGAATGAATACCGAATTTCATGTCGTTAAAATTAACATTATGCTTTCAGTAATTGAGCCTTAAACATCACCATGTGTGAGTAATAGTGTAACCACCTTTTCAGATACCCAGATCCCGAGATTGAAAAATAGAATTACTATTTTTTCACTTCCGTTGGTTTTTATTAACATTTCTTAACAAAACTTTAACTCAAATTTGGAAGGAAACAGTCTATGTGAAAATAACAAGGGAATAAAAAAATTATGTGAATGTGGGAAAATTTATCATGTCTAATTTTTAAATAGAAAGATAAGCATACATTTTTAAATTTAACTAGCAAACACGTATTACGTCATCGATTTGTCGAAGCATGGCTTTCCTGGGTTAAGTAAAGGCAAAAATAAGTTGATAAAACGCATGGCGTCTCCGTAAAATCAGCGAAATGTAGGAACTGCTGCCAGCAAGGAGTTTCTTTGATTCTATTACCTCTATGATCAGCTCGGTCAAGTACTTAGTAAAATGTTTGAGATGCCGTTTTTTAAAGAGCGCTCCCCAATAGCGTGGAAAAATCGGTGATAGCAAGTTTTCAACTTTCACGCAAATAAACCAACGATGTATTCATTTATAGCCCCGAATATTTTCGTGTACCTTTGAAATGAATAAGTTGTAGTGAGCCCAAGGGAGCTCCCTCTCTTTCTAACGTGACCCAATTCTCCCCAGGGGCTGGTTACCGATTCTCGAATATGGGTTGTTCACGTTGCTTAAAAAGCGCGAACGGGGGCGCGAGAGCCGCGCCAAACAAGACGTTATCCTGAACTTATGTATAATCTCTGAGAGGATAAATTTCAAAACTAAGGCTATCAGCACAACATTTTCCAACTTAAAGAGACCAAATGTTTGGTCTAGCGGTGAATGAAAACTACCAAACATAGAGTCTAGAGATGGGAGATATCGGGACCCGCGGGACCCATGAATTATGATACTGGTTTCAAAATGGCCCGGATGGGCGTCATCGGGAAGGTTTTTAAATATTTAGCGGGGCGGGACCAAAATCCATTTCCGACACTTCCGCAAATAAGCACTTCTTATGTTTTATTGAGACGAAAGCGAACCGCAAACATCAAAAAAAAGGCGTAGGATAAAAAACTTGCATTAGTTTTTTATTTAAAATTAATTTGAAAAATATGTGAGACCCACGGTACAATTCTGGAAAACGTCGGGATAGGCGGGTTCCGGACTTAAAAATTGAATTTCGGAACCGGCGAAAACGGGATTGAATATTTAATCCCGTGCCCATCTCTAATCTACGCCTATTGGGACACATATATCTGTAGGCAGTCTTGGAGATCAAGCAAAGGATAACTCTTGCCAACCGGTGCAGTGGAAAATTAGAGCCCTTTCTCGACGAACAGAGAACATAAGCCACATCTTTCATCATATACGTCCTTTTACATGGCCTAGAAATGCAGACGGTGTTCATGAGAACGCTTTGGAACTTTCAAGAGATCTATT